ATGCTCTGCCTGCAGTATTGTAAGAGTGCAACTTATTTAATAAACTTTGATGTTAAAACTCTGTTTGAAATCACATTCGTTTGGAAGATTTGGAAGTGTTAGAGGATGTTAGGATAGGGATTCTGGGAGGATGTGATCAAATGGACTGAAGGGACGTTCTCACCTGAACTTTTTTCCCTTTCCTTCAGGCTTCCAAAGTTTGCCAAAGTTCTCCCCAACTCTTGCTGTCTGGAACTATGAGCCTTGGCCTTGATCTAGGTTTCTCAGTAAGGAAAAAAGACCAAGTCAAAGTGTTTGTAAATGACTCTACCAACCTGTCAGCTTTCTCCGCTAGGTCTCTGACCTACCCACTCCGCCATTGGCGGTCTAGCTTTCAGATCTGCCCCCACTCTCTAGAACTCCTTCCTGGAGTACCTATGACTTACACCTTCCCTCCCCTCCTTCAAGTTCCGCCTAAAGACCTCGTCTTTGACCTCGCCTTCGGTCATCTCTCCTGGGGAAAAGGGAAGGAATTTCTCCTGGTCATCATTCCCCCAGAATAAAATACAAATTGGTCATTCACTTCATGGCCTTTTGCTGTTTACAAATTGTCTGCTGCGTTCACTTCCAAATATAGTCACTATACATTACAGTAAATTATATGAAGCCTTTTCACACATCCTCTTGACATGAAAGGTCAATATCAAATCATTCATTTTAAAAAACGAATCCTATCGATCGGTATCAGGTTTGAGATGAAGGTGTGTTCTCTTTGATCATTCAAGTTGAAAAGTTTTTTTTGAGGGGACTATGTTCTGCCTCACTTGGAGTGACGTGCTTGTTCTCTGCTCTCCTATGTGTGTAGTTGTTTTTGATGTGCATGACTTTATTTCATGTAATGCATGACATACCTGTGTTAGGCAGAGTTACGCTGGCCTGTTTGGATTATATGTAAATATCTTCCAATCTCATGGACTTGATCAGGAGGTTAAATAAAATGGTATTCTCATCCCTTTCTTTTCGATTAGGATTTAACTCTATTACTTTCCATGCCCAGCACTTGGAGGTTCAGATGTATTTTTAGAATCTCATTTCAACCTGGTCAGTGCCTCTATTACATTCACCAGGAAACTGAAGAAGCTCGCTCCCGAGAGTCAGGATTGGGATGTTGTGCATCTAGTGAATCCCCTTGCAGTCCACCCTAGAACTGAAACATCTACTGGGCAGTCCATACAAATATCTCCCCACTCCCCCCACTTCATTACCTCAAAACATTGACTCTTCTGTGCAAATCCCGAGAGCTGCCTAGTGTGCAGGAGGAATAACTTCTCTGCTTACGATATCTTAATGAAAGGGCTCACTGTAACTCCAGTCTGTCGTTTTATGTATGTGGCATTACAGGAAAAGCTGCAGGGTCTTTATTTGAATGATGTCACCGTCGCAGGCCATTTCCTCGATGCTTGTGCAGCGCTTTTCAGTTTCTTTTTAAAAGAAGCAAATGATTATTCAGTGACATGGATAAGGAAGCTGTTAATATTAACCAGCCCCTAAAATTGGAGGGTGAGCTCTGACTGTCGTCTGCTCTTTCCTAGTTGAGGCAGGGTTTTTTGGGTCATTCTTTGTGTTTCATGCTATGGAATTTACCAGTGTTTCCTCCCCTAAAGAGACTGATTGAGTAAGATCTGGTCCCAAATGTGCTGGCTCTCCTCCAGTATAAGTGGCCACTTGTGTTATTCAGGCTGTGAGTATTGACCAGTGTAAGGAGCGCATTGACAGTTTTCCCAACCCTGCCTTCACTGCATATCCACCCAGTCCTACCTCAGAGCACCTCTTCGTGTAACCTCACCCAGTATAGAACCAGACATCATCATGGAGCTGACTCAACCAGAGGAATCAGTGTTGTTTGTTTGAATAGTTGTGTGGTGCTTGATTTATTCCACTGTAATCCATGTGAATTCAAGCCAAATTTCTGCTGATGTATTGGTGACATGTTCTTGGTCAGTGATGCATTGTGTTGTTAAAGTCGAGGCAAATCTTTTCCAGTGGCCTTGTGTCTGAGACTAGAATCGTTGTTGGAAGCAGCAGCTTGAGCGTTTAGGGTTGGTGTGGCTGACACTTTTTGAACAGGTGCAGATTAGCTTACCAGCAATAAACTGAGGTTATGTGTGTATGTACCCAAAAATGTACGATATCTGCCTTTGAGTGTTATCCTACTGGTTCACATGGCTTCCTGGCAACGTTCCCTGTGTTTTATACTTTTCGTAATAGTGCCGAACATTTATAGATGGTCTTTATATTACATTGGTTGGAAATTAACCAAAAACTGCTCGGGATATAATAGAGCTGATCTTGGAAACCATTGAATTTAACAGAACTTCCAAAGTGGTTGTGTAGAATCTAATGATATTACATTTTAAAAATTGTTTCTAATTTTTCCCCTCCTCTCTGATGTATCAGTCCTGCGTCCTTTCTGCATGTAAACTTCATGAATCGTACATAAGACTTTCATTACTCGCCCGCCCCACTACCCCGCCCCCCCGCAGACCAACTGATTTGTCCGTCCATGTGCAAACAGAAACTTATGCTCGAAACACCTTCTGCTGAGATTGCACATAAGCAGTGGGGACTGAGCTCGTCTTCAATTTAAGTGACATTTCAATTTAAGTGGAGCTGACTGAACCAGAGGAATCAGTGTTGTTTGGACTGAGCCCTTGATGTACCCTGCCACACTTTACCACTTTACTGTCACGTAACGTCTTATCATTGCTTCAAGGTTTCTCATCCTACACCTGACTTTAGGTCCATGCTGCTTATTAAATGGAATGTGTTATTAAAATGTACCACCTCCTGCAGGTCCACAGCTGAGGGTTGAGGGCATAAACATCTTGGAAATTGTCCAAGTGAGGTGCTTGCTGTCCTTCTGTGCAACAACCTTCATTAGAAATTTGTGTTGGTCTCGTGACCTCACTGCATTGGGCCCATTCCCATCAGAGAGAAAGCTGTGGGTGAGAGTTTATCTGACAGATTTACAATTTCATAGCGTCTTTCATACCAGGAGCACAACTCAAGATGTTCAGAGTACATCGGGGGCGAACTGGGGAGGAAATGACACTTAAATTGAAGACGAAATGTGCCTCAACGTAGAAAGAGCCCTTATTAATCTTATTAAAAATCATCTGCTTTGGAGCAGATTAAGAACATGCAACCAACTAATCAACGCCCAAAGAGTTCCCAATTTTCGCTCTGGAGCCGAGGAGGTTGTGGGCAGATCCTTGGTATTGTTTTTCAGAATTATTTTTATATTGCCGATCATCTGATGTCGTAAATCTTCCATTTTATCACACAGCTTTAATCCCCTGAATGACCCAATAGGAGTTACTGGATTCCATTCTCAGGTGTTTACTGAGTTGAACAGGAAGTGAAACTTTTTTTATTACTGCATCGTTTGCAGTTGGATGTGAACAGATCTACAGAGCAAATAAGCCTTGCATTTGGTACAGTGCCTTATCACGTCATCGAGACGTCTGAAAATGCTTCACACAATATACTGTAAAGTGAATTGACTGTATATTTTGTGGGCGAAAATGCTATCACAAAGCCATGGCAGCTTTTAATGGTATGGTGTACTGTAACTCTTACTTCTAGAGCCAAGTTAGGGCACTTAAACCCAGCAAGCCGGATAAATGGGGGTTCTGGTCGGGCGAGCTGGAATTTTTGACTAAGTGTAATTACAATGCCAGCACTTGGAGACTTTTAAGCTGGGGGTTACTATCTTGTTAAAGTGGTGCAATTAACAAAACCTATTTGCCTACAAAAGATTGCAACACTCGGCAGCAATTGCATGTAAAATGCTTCTGAGATGTTTTGATATAACATCAAGGCTGTAAAATTGCAATTCTCATTTCCTTGTATCGTCACCCCTATGGATGCTGGATGATTTAGCCACCTCAGAAACCAGGCAGCATGTTTCAGGCAATGATCTGAATGCAGGAATCCACACTGAATTGAGGGGTTCACATGTACGTTGACCCAGCAGTTCTGAAGTTCCTCGTGGTTTCAGCCATGTTTTAACATGTTAAGGTCGCCAACAAATATACAGTCATTATACTTTACAGAAAACACTGTTGAGATGTTTCGAAGTGATGTGGCACTATATCAAATGCAAGGATTTCACCACAATGAGAAATTAGTTATTCTCTGCAGAGGTTCTTAGACTTTGAGAAAAATTGACAAATATGAAGTGGACTTGTAGCAAAAAAAGTTGGGGATTTGAATAGTAAATGAAGTAGATTGTTGATGGGTTAATCATAAAATCTCAGTTCTCTGAGGTCAAATACTTTGAAGCACGATGGGCGCTATGTAAATGAGATTTGTTTTTAATATAACACCTGGTTATTTGTCTGCCTCGAAGCAGTGGTGTGCAGACTGAATGTCTAGTTCTCCACTCCCCAATGACTCCTTCTTTGTAAAATCATATGATAAATGTATGTCGACAAATACTGCTTTTGAACTTAATGCTTTATTGAAATGGATACAATCGCAGTCTTTCTGAACTCATTAATTTCTCTGGTCATAAATTAAGGAATGATTCAGAAAACAATAGGTCGACTAGCCTTCTTTTGTTCTGCAAATTTCTATGATTTTGAAATGTGGCTTTAAAAACCTGTTTGATGGCAACTTTAACCTACCTCTCCCCCCACTTTGGGAGAATCTGGTAGCGTATTGGTTGGAGCACTCGCCTCATAAGTGAGAAGACCTGGATTTGATTCCTGGGCAGGGAGAAACCTTAGGCAAGTTTCCTTACTCCATACGCCTCTACTTACCTAGCAGCAAGTAGAAACCCGGTTTTAGTAGATTGGTGGATCGCATTTCTGGGGAGAAGAATCCCCTCAAAAAAAAACAATTTTAAAAATTGGTCACTCAATCCGCGACTGTTTGTGGGACACTGCTGTGCATAATTGGCTGTTTCTTTCCCGCCAAACCAAAACAACGAGTCAATATACAATACCTCTCTTTTTCAGATTAATGTCCGTGTTACTACCATGGATGCGGAGCTGGAATTTGCCATCCAGCCCAATACTACAGGCAAACAACTCTTTGATCAGGTAAGTTCAAACCTTTTGTTTGATCATTCCTTCAGTCTCTCTCTTTCATCGTTCTCTCTCTCTTAGGCTTTTGCTTTTGCCTTTTTCGCTAACCTGTCACTTTGAGTTCTGTTGAAGTGGCCCTTGTGACGTTATCCTGAGATCTAACCTGGGATGGTCCAAGTCTATGTGGCTCAGGTTCTACTGTGTGTTAGAGATCCTGGATGACCATCTTAGTTGACGACGACACTCAGCACCGTTGTTAAAGAGATTGAACAGGGTCTAGGAGTTTGCTGTGGTTTGATAAGACAATGGCCACTGAATAGTCCATTAAACAAGACTAATGCTATTAGCTCCGAAGATGCAGCAAAGCAGATACAAGGAAAATGTCCTTATTGTACATCACTCCAATAAACTTCTTGTGTCTATCCCAGACTTGTGGCTATTAGCAGCCAGTTTTGAATTGCTGATGAACCTCAATGAGCCAGAATTCCCCCCTAGGACGTCCTCCTGACGTGAAAGGAGCTATACAAATGTAATCTTGTTGTTGTTGTTGTATTCCTCTAGCAAAAAGATTGTTTTTGAAAAAAATTCTGCTGCATAACATAAACATTTGAGCAATAAGCAGCAGTACTGTACAGGTGATGTAATAGCGGGAAAACCTACGGTCCTCCTTAAACTAACTGTAATATTATGACTATATAGAAATGTATTTTGCAGTATTTGGCCCTCAACATCATATGGTGAATGTCTGAACTGAGCTAAATATTATCACAGATGTGGATTTTGTTTTCATTTCAGTTATTAATTTTAACTCCCATCGATGTTAAAGCAAAGCACCCATTTCATTCATGAGGCACATATTCTTTTATAGATCTGATTTAATTTGCTGATAGTCACTTCATGAATACATGCTTATTTCCTTCCAGGAATTTTTTTTTGTGTGTGAAGCCATACAGGTCTGTTCTACCAGGAACCTCCCTCTCTTCCTCGTCTGAGGATCCCTTTATCCAGAAGTAATCTTCCTGATCCGTACGTTTCAATTTCACAACGGCCAGTGGCAGAGACGTTAAACCATTAAGCCTGTTCAGGTGGACATTAAAGATCACTCTCCGAAAAGGGGAAAGAGTTTCTCCCAGTTTTGCCAACAGTCTCCTGAAATTGCAATTGCTCATTCACGTCAGGATTTTTTTGGGCCATTCGCTGTAACCAAATTGGTTGTTACATAAATTAAAGTTGTTATTCTTGATGCTGTGTTTGTCTGCAAAATATACTGTCCTCACACTTACAGTAAAATGCTGTGAAGCACTTTGAGACACCCTCCCAACATAAAAGATGCTATATGAAATGGAAAGATCATTATCTTGTTAGCAACTAAAGCAATGGAAATTGGTGGGGGGGTGGGGAAGAGAGATTTTTTGGGTCAGCCTAGTATTTTGACATCAACAGAAACCCATTCAAATGCTTAAGAATATCCAAACCAGATTGCTGAGAAGTTCACCTATATATGGATATTTCAGTGGATATTTCAGTGTGTTTGGAATGGAGTGGGCATACTTGAGTTTAATTGGTGTCCGTTTTGTGCAAAGTTTGCAGGAAAGCCTGCCAATGATTGTGTGTGTGGAAATCTTTATAGTCTCCGTTCTGAAGGCTGCACAGATTGATAGGAGACAGTCCCAATTTACGCCATAGTTTTGCGTTTAATAATCCTTCCATTTGATATAACACCTTATCACGTTGCAGGGTCTCAAAGTGATTCACAGGATTTTACACTGAAGTTCAGTGACTATTTTGGTGAAAGTGGCAGCCAATTTTGCACAAGGCAGTGTTCCACAAACAGTCATGAAATGAGTGACCGTTTTTTGGTCAGCCGGGTGTCTGACACATGTGGAAAACCATCACCATGCTTAAGAGTATCCAAACCAAGCTGAGATTTCCATGTATCCCACCTACACATGGAAATCTCAGAGTTAGATTGTTGGAATGCAATGCACACTCTCTTCCCGGAGGGACACATCCTGCTTACTTAATTCTGGAAAGTATTAGACATAGTTGGCAACAGCCAAGGCTTGGGACCCCAAAGTGTGCGTTGAGGTACCAGCTGGAATCTGACCAGCTAAAACTGCGTAGCTTGCCATTGATATCACTATCTGGCAAGCTTTCCGGCTGCTTGTTCAGCTAGGAGCATCCTACCCGTTAGGGCTTTGGCTTGCAGGGTTAACAGAGATGCGTGGGATGATTCCCTGCCCCCAGTGACTGGTCTGTCCTTCCAGGTCCTGCTAGTTTTTCACTCACGATCAGTGAGTCATCAATGGCATCAAAGTGTGCAAATCTTAATTCCTAAAATTTAGCAAAAAGATTATTTTTGACTAAATAAAATGCTGTGATATTTAAGTGACTTGTCAGTTTCCCTTATATAGAACTAATGCACCCAGAAGAGGTCATTTGGTGCAAGGATTATTATTATTATTTATTACTATCTCTGCAAATTACTCCTTCAGATCTTTATATAGTTCTAGCTCTATCTATATGGATCTTGTTTGACCATTGTACTTTGTAGGGCATTCCACATCCTCACAATTCTGTGAAAATAAAATGTCCTCCTAATTTACCTCTTTACTAATCAGCTTATATCGCTGCCCTTTCCATCTTCCTTATTTCCCAACCAAATCTAATCCTTTCCAAAGTCATTTTCACTGTTGCAACAGAGCTGTGCAACTCTGATCTTTGTCTGATCGACCTCTACCCGGAGGATACTATTTGGACACTGGAAATTGCAAACTTATTAAAACATTAACTGTTATGGTGCACTGTCAGTCCAGCTTTCCTCATGTTTGTTGCAAAGCATATAAAGACAGTAACTTTGTTAGCACCTTAGTTATCAGTGTGTGGACTTTATAACTAGGTTCAGAGTAAGCACAACCTAATAATACTTTTATCATTCTGCTTGTAAGCAGAATTTATACAAATTTATACAAAGTGTGATAAATTGTAACCTGTACGATCTGTGCTAACTCTTAAGGTAAACCCTGAATGCTTTTCTTTGCAGCCACACTTTGCTGCTTCTTATAATTCGGAATGCAGTCAATATCACACACACAAACAACTCGCATTAATGAAGCTCTTTTCTGTCAGGAGATGTCTCAAAGTGCTTGGTTGGGAGAGTGAGCGAGGAGATCGGGAGGGGAAGGATTCCATTCCCGCTGAAAGTGGGAGTGGAATCCTCCCATTCCCACTTCCACAAAACACACAGTCAATACACTTTACAGTATACCCTGTGAAACATTTTGACACCTCCTTATGTGGAAGGTGCTATATCAAATATAAGGATTATTATTATACAAGCCCTGCTCTTCCCCGCCAGTGCACACTGCTCTATATCACTGCTTTGATTCAGAAATATTCAAAGCTGCAATATCTGTTTTTCTTGTTGATCATACTTCCCAAATGTCATGTTTGAGTTCCCGTAATGGTCTAGTTTGAGGAGGTATCACTTAGTATAGGGCCAAGCTATGCAGAGCAGATGCTGACGGCCCTAGTCTAGAGCTGCATATTATTAACGCTTGCTGCTTCTGACTACAATCCAATGATCTCTACTTACCCTGTCACTCCCCAGAAAGTCCTGATGTATAGGCATCTGCTGAGGACAGATTCAGGTCTTGATGTCTTACATGGTAAAACAGTCTGCTGATGCTCAGGTTTAGGCTCAAACATAAAGATTGGTCGGTCATCACTTGGATGAGAAGTCTGAGGTCTGCTTTACAGTAATCTTGTTTTTCTAAGCAAAAATGTACCCTCTTCCTTCTCTCTCCCTCTCCCCTCCCCCCAACCCCATTCACCCAGCAAAGCCGAAATCTCTGGCAATCTCTCCCTGAGCAACTCACTAACTTTGCACTGAATTTGCTACGGATTGTATCAGAATTTGTGATTTCCTTTCCACAGGTGGTTAAAACCGTTGGCCTGCGAGAGATCTGGTTCTTTGGACTCCTGTATATAGACACCAAAGGCTACCCTAACTGGCTGAAACTCGACAAGAAGGTAAAGGGATTTGTTTGTGATTGTTGAGATTTGTGTTATGGGGGAGGTCTTCCCTTTCCCCACACTCTTAGCGCCCCACCAAAAAAAAATTCTGTTGATATTTAGTACATATTGAGTTAGTTAGTTAGTTGCTGTGTTTAATCCAGAACTTCTACAAAATTGGTACTATCATAATTGGACCAGAGTACGTTACTGAGGCAATTTAACAAATCTCAGTCACATAGTTTGTACAGCGATATAAAATCTCAAACCCTAACCATGTATAGAGATGATGGGTAAAAGTGCCGTTCACAATAGCCTTAGGCTAATAGGGTTTGCAATTATTGTCACACTTCACCAAAGGCACTGTGTGTGCCACTGAATTTAATTTTTACCCTGTGTTTCGGAACGTGACTTACTGGGAAACTCCACCAGGATTTTGTGACTTTAAAGTCCTCAGTAAGCTGGACTTTATTGCTGATCACTGCTGTAAGTAGGATTCTCTGTTAACCTTGGCCCCTAGTTATTCATTGAGGCAGTGCAGAATGTACGTACTTCAATGGCGTGTGCTGCAGAGCTATCCTGTGATTTGAGTGTATTCTTCAACAGGGCAGATGGATGTTGGTCTCTGTTTTACAGGAATGGAACCCAGTAGCATTTACTAAATTGATAGAATCTCTGTGTTGTAGTTGCCTGGTTCAGTTGAGTGCACTCCCACCTCTGAGTCTGAAGGTTGTTGGTTTAAACACGTTGTGTTTGTAGCTTAGGTTGGCACTCCAATACAGTGCTGGGGAGGCACCCGTCCTTTACAGGAGATGTTAAACTAAGATCCTCTCTTCCTGTATATGTAGATGTTAAAGATCCTACGGCACAATTTGAAAAGAGAAAGGAGGATAAAATTGCTTATTCACTTCATGGTTGCTTTTGAGACTTTACTGTGTGTAAATTGCCTACAAAATAGACAATCACTGTACTTTAAAGTCCTGGGAAATGCTTTGAGACGTGCTTCCAATTTAGAATAGAAGGCTTATTTATTTCACTGCTCTATGATGTATGACTGTGGTGATGTGGTGTGGGAGTGCTACTGTTGTGCAATGTTGGATTTTTGGTGCACATTTTATGGGTGTAAATGTCAGCTGAAACTCTTGAGTTTGTGCCTCTTTTAATGAAACATTGTGATTTGTTTTGCTACGACAGTTCACATTCACTTCCATGCAATAAAGCCTGGTTTGAATTTAAATGTAGCAAAGCTTTTCTTCATCTTTTGGTTTGAGAAATCACTGAAGGCTTCTGTTTTTCTTGGCAGGTCTCCCAACAGGATTTAAAGAAAGAAAACCCTGTCCAATTCAAGTTCCGTGCCAAATTCTTCCCAGAGGATGTCTCTGAGGAGCTCATTCAGGACGTTACTCAGAAGCTGTTCTTCCTTCAGGTCAAGGAGATCATCCTAAGTGACGAGATGTATTGCCCCCCTGAGACAGCCGTGCTGCTCGCTTCCTACGCAGTGCAGGCCAAATTTGGAGACTATAACCAAGAAGTGCATAAATTTGGCTACCTTACATCTGACCGCCTGTTGCCCCCACGGTAAGTAAAAGCTGAATGATTTGCGTGGAAATCCCTGAGTGTGTGTACGTGTGCCTTTGGTCAGCTGAGTGTCTAAACACACAGAAACACATTGCCACTCTTCAGAGTTTCCAAACTAATGACGGTTCCACCTACAAGGGAACATTTCTGTTTGTATGGAACGGACTGTGTGCTCTCCAGTCCCATAGGGATGCAACCTGCTCATATAATCCTGGAAAGTATTGGGTGCAGATTGGCCGAAGAGTCAAGATTTGGGCACCCAAATCAGTGTGTTGGAGATTAACCAGCTCAAATCACTCTATATAATCTGAATACTGTATTAGCTGTTTTATCTGAATGTTTTATAATGCCCTGATCTCCTAGTGCTGTGGAATTCATCCCGTTTCCACTGCACAGAAATGTGTGTATCGCAAGAGAGGAGATGAACTCACTCGATTCACAACTCCAATGTCTGGCCACCAGAGGTTTTCCGTATCTAGAAATGGTGTGTCCAGCCAAACTATCCTCCTAACTACCAATCTGCTCAGAGTATTCAGCCTGCTGGTGACCAACAGGACACGCCTCATGAGAGTCAAGAAAGATACATCATCCCATGCGAAGGAGGCTACAGTGGAAATTGCTGATGTTTACAGGGAGACCTTTTTATCTGACATTTTGGTGTTTCCAACTACATCTAGATTTACTCTTATTAAATCTTTCAGCATTTCATAAGCATAGCATTTCAGAGCACCCAGGATTTAGCAAACTCTTAAATACAGCCTTAATTTTGCAGTCTGTTTTCTGTAAATTTCTTTTAAGAACCATAGCAAACCTATTTCACATTCAGACTGAACTCTGCAATTTGGCTAATTTTGTGTGCTCTAGAATGACGAGAAAATAGTGTAATTCTAGACCCAGGTGAATTTCTCCCTCTAAATGTTTACAAGGGGGGAAAGTACCCCACCTCTCTCTATTGGCTGCTGCATTGGCAGCATTGGCTGTCAAATATGCCTCTCAAACAGAAATTCTCCCAGCCTAGTTCTTATGAGACAGTGTTTCAATCTGTTGTTTCTGTATTGAAATAGCCATCCAAATATGGCATTCCTCTGAGAATTTTACTTGTAACATCTAAGTAAACCTGCACTGCTTATCCTGAGAATAAACTAGTGTTATATTTAGCTTAGCAACAATTTGAGTGAATTGATTCACAGTGACAGCAGCTTCCGGGACACTGAGTCTGAGGCTATCTACCTTGCTGATTTGGTGGAGTGGAATACCAGTTTAGGGCTCCTGACTACACAGCACAGAAGATCCTGACACACCAGCCAGGCTGGACACCAAACATGAGCAACCATTACCCTGCTGCTGGTCACTGAGCTGCTAGAGCCCTCCCACCCTGTGTCCTCCCAAGACCTCCCTAATCCAAGAGTCACTGCATAAAGTGTAGCAAGTTCTACATTCTGCAGCACAATCTTAAACAAGTGATTTGTTGTGTAAGCAAATCTGATCTGCGCCAGCATCGTCCCATAAACAGCAAAGAGGTGAATTTAATTTGGGGTTAAATTTGGAGTAGGAGGGGATAAATTTGGAGTAGGAAGTAATGAAAACAACCGGGAGACAAGTCTCGTTTCTTTGAAATATTATTGTTTATTATTAAATATTATGAATTACATATCAATGGAATTTAATACAATAGAATCTAAATCAATGTTGCAATCCAAAAAATGCGATGATGATTTGGACAAAAATAATAATAAATGTTTACAGTAATAATATTAATAATCCTTACCTTTGGTGTAGTACCTTTCGAGTTGGGAGGGTGTCTCAAAGTGGCGTATAATATGGAATGTTACATAGGCAAACTCGGCAGTGAATCTGCGACAGAATCTGACTATTGGTTTCTATCTCAACAGTGTTCCGGATCAACACAAGCTTTCCAGGGAGCAGTGGGAGGAACGGATCCAGGTTTGGCATGAGGAGCACCATGGAATGCTGAAGTGAGTTCATTCAATCTGGTCACTCCGAGCCAGCTCTGACCCTCCTTTATTTAAACTTTAGGAATGTTTTGAGAATTTTTCACTAGGAATCACATTCATGTGAGTCATTTATCTCAAAGGGCTGAATATTGCGTTTCTTTTCATAAATATTATGAAAGGGGCTGTAACTTGGTAGGGTAGATGGACAAATGGGGGGTGGTGGGGGGAGAAAACATCCCAGACAGGCAGTGCTGGCATCTTTTTGCCCTACTTTTGGAACTGAGTAAGAAGCATTTAAACAACATCTAAACCAGTGCTGTAAATGGGGATTTCTCAGTGTGGCTTGGGGGAAAACTTAGATTCTTTTTGAAAAGCAGACAATAAAGGAACGGCAAATCATTTCAATCTGGTCAAAAACAGGGTCTGGTGCCTTTTTAGTTTCCAAGTCATGGTAATAATAATCCTTAGATTTGATAGAGCGCCTTTCATGTTAGGAAAATGTTTCAAAGCACTTTGCAGGATTTATTGTAAACTGTAGTGACTATCTTGCAGGCAAACATGGTTGTCGATTTGTGCTCAACAATGTCCCACAAACAGCCATGAAGTGAATGACCAATTTTATTTGGTGGATAATTGGCCAGGACACTTTTATATTTTAAATAGTAATACATGATCTTTAACATGACCTGTCAGATGGCCTGTGCTATTTTATCAGGGTAGTGTCTGGTTGCTCCTCCCAATACATTCATGGATAATAAGTTTTCTTTTTGTGCGCAGGGAAGACTCCATGCTGGAGTACCTAAAGATCGCCCAGGACCTCGAAATGTACGGAGTCAACTACTTTGAAATCAAAAATAAGAAGGGGACAGACCTGTGGCTGGGGGTGGATTCTCTGGGGCTCAATATCTATGAAAAAGACAACAGGTAAGTGAACCTTGTGAAATGAGTTACTTCACTTGTTGCTCATTCACATGAACAACGTCCCAAGAATCCAGTACAAAGGACAGAATGGATTTGCACACAAACAGCCTCAACACCTCTGCTGCTCATTCTTATTAGCTCACTCGTAGCTCTCAAGTGCAGGGAGTGGCAGCAAAGGTATTTAGCTGGGCGACTGCAAACCATGATTCCCTTTATTGAATTTCTTCCATTGTGTAAGCATAGCTGCATAGACTGTTTTTTCAAGCTTCAGCACCTGGCTTTGAAGCGAAACATTCAGGAAACAGTCTTACAAAAAAAAGACGAGGGGAGACTGGCATCAACTCAGAAGAGGAGAAGCTGAGCAGTTGATCACTTCAATCCACGACTGTTTGTGGGACACTGCTATGCAGAACTTCAGATTGAACTGATTTACACAGAGTGGTGAAAATATGGCATACGATACGTGGGGAGATAATGGAGGCAGATTGTGCCAGTGAGTTAGACAGTGAGGTTTAAATTGCATTATTGACAAATCAGATTTAAGGCACAAATTGTGACTTGAGAATGTCAGGCAGTGGGACCGGTTAAAAACAACAAAAACAACAAATTACATTGATAGAACGCCTTCCATGTCAGAAGGACATCCCAGGGTGCTGGACAATTAATGGTTTCCACCCTAGTTGGGGGTTGGAATCAAGAGGGGTGGAGGCTGGTGGGAGTGTGGCTGAAAGCACGGTCAAAGAGGAAGATCTTGAGCTGGGCTTTGAAGGAGGCGACAGAGAGGGATCTCAAGGTGAATTTCAGTGTGAGAAAAGATTGACAAGCAAAACACCTATTGCGTGCGGATCATCGTGCTCACACAGACTGGCACGGAGCCACGACCTTAATCAGGGAGTTCTGTAGCTCAGTGGTTAGAGCACTCGCCTTGCAAGCAAGAGACCTAGGTTCGATGCCTGGCAGGGTGAAATCTTGGGCAAGTTTCCTTACTCCACACACCTGATAATAATCCCTCAAGAAAAAAAACAATAATAAAAAAAATTGATCACTTCAATGCACGACTGTGGGACACTGCTGTGCGCAATTGGCTGCCGTGTTTTGCCCACAAATATACAGTCAATTCATTTTACAGTATATTCTGTGAAGCGCTTTGAGACGTCTAGAAGACATGAAAAGCGCTATATCAAATGCAAGGATTATTATTATTATTATTATGAGCTCCCAGGTATTACACCTTTCTTTTTTCACTTAGCGTGGGCCAGCAACAATGAAACAAGTGCCTATCTGGGGAAGGGAAAAAATATTGTTAAGCATATTTGTTCACTTGGTTCCTCTCTTGAGCAGTTGATTCTCAGCCAACCACCGGTTCCAGTGCTACTTGCCATTAGTCACTTTAGCCACACCAGTGACTGGGCCTAGTTTGCCTGCTGGTGTGAAGTTCAATCTCAGTTTACTGCAGTGACCAATCTCAGTTGTTCCTTAGTTGTGAATTAGCTGTTTCAAAAGAATCTGTTGATGCAGCCTTTTCCTACAGGAGATAGTAATCAATTTCAGTTGAATGTTAAGAATGGACAAAATTACATAACTGTAGATTCTGGAAATGCAGCATATTTTAGTCAGATTACTATGTGCATCGAACTACTAAAGTTTTTGAATGGAGCATTCCTGAGAAACTAGTAACACTAGTCAGGGGGCAGGAGAGGGGTTTGGCTGAGAGGCTTGGGATGTATCACCTTACATCTAGTAATAATTCACCAGAATGATAGCTGGGATGAAGGGTCGGCTTTCGGAGGCTGGACAAATGAGTTACATTCTCTAGAGTTGAATTTGTTATGGGTTTGAGGTGTAACTTTGATCTTGCTAAGAATAAAAGAATCAATGATAATGTGATGGAAAAGGGCTCTTCACTGGGATAAGGAAATCCTGAAGAAGAGGGCAACATTTTAAAATCTGGTAAAACTGGATAAAAGCGGAACCAGGAAACATTTCTTCACACAGTGTTGTGAGAATATGCAGTGGGTACCTGGGAATGCTTTAGAAGTGATTGGAGGGTTCAAGATACAGGTGGGTAGGTGGAGGCTCAAGTACAAGAGATACAGTAAAGGTGGGTTGAGGAAGGGACAGGCTAATAAAGCACTCTATAATGTATCATCAGTCCATTAAACCTCCTTTGAAAACTATGTAAAATCCTTAGGCCCTGGCTGCTTTAATCCTGGGGGAATGGAACAGGTAGAACTTGTAAGGCAATGTAACTCTCCCTGATCCTCTAGTCACTGGAGACTTGTGCAAGGTAGATAGCAATCCAGCATTGCAGGCTACAATCTTCAGCCCTGACCCACGGGTTCTGTGAATGTTTTCCCTGAAGCACAGAAATGGATTTCATTGGAGGGTTCAGTCTGTCCTCTTGTTCTTAACTAGATGATTATCTTGTCTTTATTTCAACAAGACGATCAATATAGCGATAACTTCCTTTGATGGGAGGCGGTTCCACAACAATACTGCTGTGTATTGGAGAAGCGGACAATCAAAGGCAGCAAGCATTTGTTATCAGTCTCTGATGGGAATGTTTTACTTGTAATCTGCAGAACATTAGAATCATAGAATTATACAGCACAGAAGGATGCCATTCAGCCCATCATGTCTGTGCTGGCTCTTTTAAAAAAGCTATCCAAATCAATCCCACTCGCCCGCGCTCTTACTTACATCTACATTAAAGATGCCTTTCAGTACCTGAAACACCTGTATCCTCTTTACTTTAGTGAACATTACTTGTAAGTCTCACATAACTGGGAGTTTTGTTTCATTCCGGGAATCCTTGAATCTTGAATCTTTTACCTCTGGATGGAAAAATGCTGCTTACAACGTTAACTGCTTATCCCATACAGCGTCTGTGCCGATATTAAGCATTAGCTCACATCCTACTATCGCAGGGGAAAAGTTCGGATTGAATTTGACAATCAGTCTCCAGCTATAGGTTTATGCAGTGCTGATGTGTGGAGTTGTCTTATAAATTTACTGGGGCATTAGATGTTTCTAGCAAAGACCTAGGATAGCGGTTTTAGGAACCATAATATCTGGAATCCTTATGCTGTTATCCAGGAGCCAAAGCTCTGGTGCTTAATGCAGCAAAGCAGATGCCTTGTGCACTTCCCCCCAGAGTGGTCAACACCTGGTAAGGGTATTCCTTGTGAGCTGCAGATTTCAAATCCATTTAAACATTTAGAGTTGTGTGTGTGCTAAAGCAACAACGCATGAGTTGAAACTCCTACATAGTTGAGCTTTGCATCAGGTTCCCTGTGGGGAAGGATAGTGTGGGGCAGTTTATACCAGCCTGGTCTTGGCACAATTCCACAACAACAACAAATTGTATTTATATAGGGCCTTTCACATCGGGAGGATGTCCCGAGGCGCTGAATGATCTTGTCAGTTGATCTTCTCTGATGGAGTTCTTGAGGGTGGAGGCAGAGAGGCTGAAGGCCCACCTTGCCCGCCCCACCATTTGCAGTTGGGCCTTCAGCCTCTCTGCCCCCACCCTCTGGAACTCCATCTCATAGTCCCTGCGCCTCGACCCCTCCTTTGCCTCCTTCAAGAACTGCCTCAAGACTTTCCGTTTAGACCATTTGGTAACCCTCCTACCCTCCCCGCCCTCCACCCCTTCTGATCCCAACCACCAACTCGGGTGCGGGTCCCTGACTATCCAGCCCTTTGGGATGTCCTCCTGACGTGAAAGGTGCTGTACAAATGTAATTTGTTGTTGCTGCTGCTGTTGTTATGAATGGTTTGTGCCTGCTCTGCTGGGGAATAGTGCGTAGTCCAGAAAAAACAGGTGCGGGAAAAACACCTTCTAACTTCTACTTTGGTTCTAGACTGACCCCGAAGATTGGCTTCCCGTGGAGTGAGATCCGAAACATCTCTTTCAATGACAAGAAGTTTGTCATCAAACCTATTGACAGGAAAGCTCCTGTGAGTACTATTCTATGGTTATGTAGATGTTACAAGCTACTAAATGTTATTTCACCACTGTGCGTGACATTTTAGACGTAACTTTCTTTTGTGTTAACCAGATTGATACCATTTTTATTAAATTTTTGCTCTGCCAAAGGAATTTGAGCAAAATAAGCTCAATACAATAGCTGCTAGTAATCTTGCTGCAGCCTGGAAACCCTGTCCTACCAACCGGGCTTGTCTGCCTGGAATCACCCCAACTTTCTACAACAACAGCAACTTGCATTTATAAAGCATTCTTTGCGCAGGGTAGTATCTTGGAGTGCTGAAACCAAACCTGTTATTCAGATCAGTCATAAATTGGTCAGCAGGAGTTTCGGTAACTGTGTGCTTCTCACCAAGTGCCCAGTTTGCAGATGATGTGTGAGGCTGACCTAGTTATTGTCAGTGCTCTCAGGTACGCTTCGCATCTGGTGGTACAGCATTTTTGGCACCTCACTGATGTTAATGAGGTTCAATGCTTAGGAGTGAGGTTAATTTCAATCCTCCCAAGATGTTATTGTGTATGAAGGGTGCTATATATAAATGCAAATTATTGTAATTTCATTTGGGTCTTGCACAGCTGTAGATTCCACTTAGTCTGTCCTTGAAAATTATTTTGTCCTAACTTTTACAATCTTACAGAATTGTGACCAATTCTTTACTTTAGAAGCCAGTTCTTTTTAAGAATTGCAGACTCTTAATTAAGACATAAATTTAAGAATTTACCACATTTCTGTGCGACCTGAAATGTTATGATAAAATGATCTTAGAGGCTGAGACTAGGTAAATTTCAGGCCTCTGGCTTTGGAAACAAACCCGTTATTGCTGTGTATTGCTCGGCTTTATTTTAAATCCTTTTAATACTATAACAAAAATCTAATTCAAGTTAATGTAATAAGTGTAAATGTTGGGGTTGTTAAATGTACAGTGCTCTCGATGCTTCCTGTGGATGGATGTGCTATGTGCTTCTGGTTATTAATCACTGTTCTGAGTTGGACTTGTGACAAACTCACCCACGACTGACTCACTCAGATTGAATAAACGCTCCTCGGATACCGTTGTCCTGGAAACTCTGTGGCATCGTAAAACATTAACTGGTCACAAACTCTTTGAAACTCAGCGATGAAAAATTCCTTCATAAACGTTATTCTTGATCAATTCACCTGGCCTCGAGATGAACACAAGATCTGGGTTGATGATGCACTCTTATGTACAGAAAGCCTGATATCAACACTTTTAGAGACCAGATCTCTTGTAGTTGTGAAAACTGGCTATCAGGACTTTCTTTATTAACAGGAATTTGTAAAAACGGATTCGGGAATAAACCCATATAGCAGTCAAAGAAAGCTATGGCTGTGCAACCCAACCTCCTGGTCTGAGTACCATATGAAGCTTCTGCAAAATTCAGTTTTGCAGCACTATTTTAATTTCCATAAATAATTTATTCTCTGGAAAAGCTGTTGTACATTGCATCTAAGTCTGCCTTCGAGCATTGAGTTAATACCCAATTGTCAGCTTTTGAATTAGATCATAACAGACTGGTTCAGTTAGCGATTATGGAAATTAGTTTCATTGCAAATGAAAGGAAAATAATTGCTGGGTACGTTAATGTTTTATCAGTTTATTTCTGGCACTTTCAATGGCAGGGTGTAAGGTCTGCACCAATTACAGACTACAATACTTGTTTTAAACTCTATTCTGTATCTAGCTTTATTTTCTCATACATAATGGTCACATAAAGAAGGCTTTTAGCTTATTAGAAGTGGGGAGGAGGGAAGACCCAAGTGTGGTTTAAATTCAGATTGCATTGATTTTAGTTATTACTTGGATCTGCTAGACCCGCCATGCACACACACACACACACACCACCACACTCTGCCCTCAATGACTACTGTACTTGAAGCCAGGTGGATTTCACAGCATTTGACTGCTGGTTGGAGAATGCAATTGTTTTTACTCCAGGCGTATCATTAGCAAGAGCTGTTTATCCGGTAGACCAGCTTTACAGACATTGAGTTGCTGATGGTTTCCCAGAAGAAGTGGGTGTGGATGGAGAAAGAGAGAGAAGATTCCTAATTGATACATTAAAAATATATAAACTTTAAATGCCAGGTTACCCCCCACAGTTTATAGCTACTTTCTTTCCATAAGTTCATTAACCTGCAACTTGTGCATTCTTCTGAGATTGATCAAAGCAAAGAGTTCAGCTTAGACTTTAATATCAATTTACTAGTTATTTTAAAGGTGAAAATTCATTTTAATATGAATCAAGTTACAGACAATTGAGGACTGTGCTGTTCACCATCCATTTTCACTGAGCCGATAAGGCCTTCTATCGAGCTGTCCCTGCCTGTTTGTCAGAGAAACCCTGGCCGAACTGTATGACCATTATAATTTATTTAACACTCCCAACACAATTTCCAGCATTTATCTATTAAGCCAGCAGGAAAAATAGATTGCTTCTGCTTTTTCAAAGAGAATTTGCCAAGTAACACTGGTGTTTCCTCATTCAGCACATTGTTGTAACTCTATGAACAATATTGTCCTTTCTGAAGATCAATTGGGGTATAGATGTGAGTTGAGACTCGTTGTGAACAATTGCAATACATTTGTCCACGTTCTGTAGGATTTTATCTTCTACGCTCCACGTCTAAGGATAAACAAAAGGATCTTGCAGCTCTGTATGGGTAACCACGAGCTGTACATGCGCCGTCGGAAGCCTGATAGCATTGAGGTGCAGCAGATGAAGGCCCAAGCCCAAGAGGAGAAGCGCAAGAAACAGGTGGAGAGGTGAGACCTCCAATTTATTGCTTTCTCTTGGACCCACTCCGTGCATTTAGAGCAACTCTGTACCCACTGGTTCGACTTTAAATCAGAACCAAATTCACATTTCTGACTGACACAAATCTTACACACACGCATAGACGTTTCACCCGAGTCCAGATTTACTCTTAGTTTCTTACAATTAAAGTTTAAAGTTTACACTGAATTCAGCAATTTGTGATATTCTGTTGACACTCCCAATACGATGCTGGGACTGTACTGCATTGTCGGAGATGCGGTCCATCAAATGAGAAATTAAATTGAGGTTTTGTCTGCCTGTTTGGTTAGATATTGGAAAGAGAAGGTTGTTTCTCTCGGTCATTCACTGAGTGGCTGTTTGTGGGACATTGATATGTCAAAATTTCCTTCAGCATTTGCCTATATTTTGACAGTCACAGCACGTGGGATTTAATGTCCCTTAATTTGTATTATAAACTGACTGGAAAGTAAAAGTAACAGCAAGATGCAGAATTGCTGTGTAAACTATCAAAACAATTAAATTAGTGGGGGAGGGGGGAGCACAGATAACCTTAATGTCTTAAGTCCCAATGTTAATCCTCCAAGGTTCATCACTGTCCAGATACAGATCCTATACACGTAGTATTTGAGAGTGACAGTTTGTGTTGTGGTGCTTCACTACATACTGTTGTTCTCGTGTGCAGGGCTCAGTTTGAGAGCGAGAAGAAAAAGCGCGAGGCCATTGAAAAAGAGAAAGAACAGATGGAAAATGAAAAACGTGACCTGGTGTTCAAGCTGCAGCAGTTTGAGGAGCAAACCAAGAAATATGAGCAGGGTAAGTCCTAGAGCACTGTGGTCAGGAGAGTGGGAACTGAAATCCAGTTGAAACCCTCGAAAACAGCCAAATAGAAAAATCGAGGTTACTTATCCGGCCCTGCTTAGTGGATGCTGTCATCGCTAGTCAATTGTTTTGGACTAAACCATACTTGTACTTGGTTATGGCTGGGCAACCCTTTGTAAATGAGATCCAAACAACACCAACCGCTTTAAATGCATTCTTTCTCGGCCTGAATGATCTTTGCAGTTTTAATAACCACTTGAAACTAAAACCCTCAGTATAGTGTTGCACTGTTGTGTAGCTGCATATTTTTATTGGGTGATCCACACTACAATGTTGTCTAATCCACCACTGTAGTTAACAAGTTGTCTCCAAGATGGGAAATATCTCTTGATGTGCTTATCGCATCATATCAGATTTCTTTACCTTTAATGCTATTCAGGACATCGTCCTCACTGCAGTGAGCTGTGCCAGAATCTCTTCAAAATTGCCTACGGAAAATCTGTTCCCCATTTTCTGCTATCTTTACCATTGTCTGTAGCAGCAGAGGTACTTAATGTTTGTGCCATTTAGTTATCTCCATTATTAATTTGGGTCTTTTGTGGTAGTTGGTTCCTTTAATAGTGCTGTTTGTTTTGATACAGTTTGGTATTTGGTTAATTCATTGTCCTGTGCCTCGGTGAACATAACTTCATACCTCCATATCAACCCAGTGAGCCATTGTTTATAGTTTCAACTACACTTTAATATTTGAGTTGAATGAATCTCTCTCATAACCTGTCTGATATGACTGTGTGCTGCTGGAATATGAAATCTGCTCCAAACTGTGTCTGACACAGAGGAAAATCCATTGCGTACTTGTGAGGATCCAGCTTGAGAGTTGCACATATGCATGGCAATTCCCCTGTGTGGAATGGAGTATGCACTCTCCCCGGAGAGATGCACCCTGCTTACCTAATCCAAGAAAATAACAGGCGTAGATTGGCAAGAGCCAATGCTTGGGGATACCTGATCACTGGTATTCAGTGACAAATTAAGTTTGCTAAAGGGCGTGTGGCATGGTGTTATTCTCTACACCACTCTGTGGGTCGACTATTTCACCACAGAAACTAGGTTTTCATCCCAGGAGCTGGTGCTTTTTTCCATGTCAGCCTTCTTAAGTGATCCTGCTCTCCCACTCACTCCCCATCCCCTTCAGTAATCCTTGTTTTCTAATTCCCTTTTTAAAGAATGACTTTTGTTTTGCAAAGAAACATTACGACGATTGTCAGGAAGGCTAACGTGAGTTCCACAGGTAGGAACACAGTGTTCAGAGTGGTACACAGTCAATGGCTAGGCTGCAGCATCATTCATTTCAGTCCTTGTTGTTGATAATGGAGCCGTTTGTCTTTGTGCATCACAGATCTGGCGGAGCAGATGCAGCGAGCAGTGCAGCTGGAGGAGAAGCGGAGGAGAAGTCAGGAAGAGGCTGAACGCCTGGAGGCAGAGCGCATGGAAGCTATTCGCGCTAAGGAAGAATTGGAGAGAGAGGCAGAGGATCAAATCAAAAGCCGGGAGCAATTGGTGAGAAATGGTTCTATCATCAGAATTTTATGATAAATAATGAGATGTTCATCGTGTTAACATGTTAACCAAGGTTTAACTTTAAATTACGTCCTGGTTGCTTGACTTGCACATAAGCCTCATTCTCATCATTTCCACTTTATTAGCTACCGTACAGAGAGTGGGGTAGGTTGTATTTATATGGTGCCTTTCACGTCGCAAATGTTTGGTAACGGTAGAGTTTGAGCAGAGGATTAAAGGATTTAAAAGATGTTGACCAAAGGCACGGCCGGGGGAATTTTGAACACAGGAAGAGCATTCCAGAGGTCTGGGACTTCATGGCTGAAATCTCAGCTTCTGAAGGTGGAGCAAAGGGAGTAAAGAGCAAGCAATACCAGAGTTGGAAGTGCAGAGACTATGGACTGGATTAGAATTTACAGCTGGAGATATGTAAATTGGGGAAAAATCCTTTAGATGTATTTGAAAATCAGGAAAAGGACTATAATTTTGATCTTACAGTCTAGTTTGAAATTCAGCCTCGGGATAGGAAGGGTGCCAAGATTAGCTGATGCCTTCCTCACAATCTAGCCTGACATTCCACGGCAATTCTGGGTGAGCGCAGCATTGTCAACTGTGCCGTCCTTGAGATAATAAGTTAAACCGAGGTCCCATCTGCCTGTTCAGATGGATACCTTTTCCAATCTTCCATAATTTGGTCATTCACATCACGGCTGTTTCTGGGATAGTGCCACGCACAGACTGGCTGCTGTGTTTGTCTACAAATCCTACAGTCGCTACACTTCACAGTAATTACCTGTGAAGCACTTTTAGATGTTTCAAGCTGTGCAGACATCATATCAGAAGCAAGGGTTTTCATTACGCGGTAACATGTTGTTCTGGCCTTTGCATGTGTTATTGTGCAAAGCTTTGACTGCTTCAAAATTAGTGAGACATCTGTAATCTTTTTTGTCATATTATCAGTGTGGATGTAATAGTTAAAGTCTCTTCTGACAGGTTTCAGAGTTGTCTGAGTACACAGCACAGATTGCCCTGCTGGAGGATGCCAAGAGGCTGAAAGAGGAAGAGGCAGAGGAGTGGCAGCACAGAGTAAGCTCTCATTATGTTCTTTGTTTGTGCCTTGTTTTTATTTGGACTTAAAACAACATGTAAATGATTTAGTGCACATTATCTTTATTTCCTCATCATTGGCTCATTGTAGCACCAGCAGCATTTATTTGGAGACAGTCGTATTCTGCTGGAAGCAGTGTGCGATCCAGTCACAGATATCCGTCACTTCAAACCAAGTTTCTCACCGTCCTCTCCTCACCGAGCAGTGTTAATAATAGGGCATTCTAGGAAAATAGAAATGTAACAAGGCGGAAAAAGTTACACTACTCTCTTCTACCTGTCAACGTCACCAAATAGGGATCAAATTCCCCTCTTAAATGTGTAGATGATCTGCATCCACCACTTCTCTGGTTAGTCTATTCCATAAATTTACCACTCTATCAATTCCTTTAGGGGTAGACCCAAGATCTTGTTTACTTTCTTTATTGGTGAAAACCTTTTCTTTCCCTCCCTCTTTCTTTCCCCTCCTACCTTTTGCCCTTGTTCTGTCCTTTCCTCTCTCTTCCTCAACCCCCCACCCACCACATGCAAACACATAGCCACTTCCATGTCTCAAGTTCATCATCCTGGGAGTCCTAGTTATTTTATTCTTTCGGTGCCATTTTGTAAAATGCCCTGTTAGGAAGTGTCTATTCACTGGCTCCCACCTATAAATGTCCTGCACTTGCCATCTCTAGGTTAAGCACTTGATTGGATTGTTACTAAATTTAATCAGCTTCTTTTTCCCCCAGAGATTTAACTCACTTGTATCTGAGTCACTTTCCTCAAACCTAACCAGTGTAGTTGTCACAATGAACAGATTTATCACATCAACATTGCAAACTGCATTTTATTGCAACCTGTCAGCAACTTCCTTCCATCAGATATCATTAATGTTTGAACATTGGCACATTTCTCTCGCAAGTGTGCGTTACTTTCAATAATATGATTTCATACGCCCTGGCTATATTTGGTACTTGGCAAAATTGTCCAAGTGCTTACTGCTAACTGAAAACCTGAGTAAAATTGAGCCCAGGTCTAAATTTAACCTAATGCACTGTTTGAAAAATCCTGCTATGTATTAAGACTTCATTTGTTAACCACTATCAGGCCTTGGAGGTCCAAGATGATTTGGCGAAAACCAAAGAGGAGCTGCATTTGGTACTCTCCACCCCTCCACCACCACCACCACCAATCTACCAATATGTGGATGAGAATGAGCATGCTTACACTGAAGACAATCATAGCAGCCCTACCTACAGTGCAGATCTGTATAACGGAGGCATCATCAATGACCGAAATGAGGAGCTTCGCGTAACCGAAGTTGAGAAAAACGAGCGTGTGCAGCAACAGCTCATGGTAAGGAGTTTTATTGGCTGGAGTGTGTGTAATACTAGTGTATGAATAAGACGTTCAATACATAATGTATATTATAGTTACGGATAAAATACCCAATTTAGCTATAGTAGCAGAGCTTGAACATGCAAGTATAAATTAAGCATCCCAGCAACAACAAACTTGTATTTATAAAACAAGCAGGATAATGTCTTGGAGCATTTCACAGGACACTGAATTTCTAAAATAAAATAAGGGGGCGTTGATTGTAGGTACGATTGAAGAGGTAAGTGTTTAGGCAGGATTTGAAATCTGATAGAGAGGAGATGAGACAGCAGAGTAGAGTGAGCAAGAAATGGAACAGAAATTATTTTTTTACCAGTTTAGTTCTCCTTGTGCTTCCTTCCTTTCCTCCCCCAACTCCATGCACTTCATGGCTAGCTATAAGACATTGATAGGCATAAATTGGCTGTCGTGTTTGCCCATTAAACTTCACAGAAGCTATATGAAGGATTTTTGAGACAATTTGAATGTTATAGGTGGCTATATCAAATGCAAGGATCATTATTAATTTGTGTTTCAATTTGAATTTGAACATTGGAATTCTTAAATAAACCATTGATTTGCTGAAACAGTGTGGATGAAATGAATCAATATGCTTTTTAAAAAAAAAAAATTCCAATTAAATACTGGACCTTGGTTTCTTTCGTCCAACTATTCTTATGTGGTTTGGGACATGACATGTGCAAGCGACTGCCAGGTTCGTGGAAGATTAACAGGATGGACTTTGGTCTTTTTTCGTCTAGCAATCCTTATGTTCTTATTCTCTAAACTTCTTTCCACAGACATTGAAGTCTGAACTTGCCCTGGTCCAAGATGACACCAGGAAAACTCCCAATGACATAATCCACACAGACAACCTCCGAGCAGGCCGAGACAAATTCAAGACACTCCGCAACATCAGGCAAGGAAACACCAAGCAGAGGATCGATGAGTTTGAAGCTTTCTAAGTGTCACCGTGGGAATAATACACCTGCATCGCTTTACACAGGATGGCAAACAATCAGTATATTTCAGATTTCTCAGTGGTCACTGGAGAGGTGAGCTTTAGATTCCATTGGAAAAAGAAGCCATCAACCTCCTACATCCCAGGCCTCACAGCCTGGTCCCCATTCTTTCTCCACCATAGTTTTCCAAAGCCTAGTTATATAAATGTGTTCAATTTTTAATTTAAAAAAAAAAGTCTTTCCAACTGAGATTCTTTCTCTTCCCTCCTACCCCCTTCCCTGTCCTGATTAAGTGAGAAAGTTTTTCCCTCCCCTTTGGTTCTTCAGTTGCTGCCATGGGTTTTGGTTACCTAATTGTTTAAAGCATTTTTGTTGTTTTTTCACAATGCCTACAGAAAAGTCTCCAGTCTGAGACTTGGGGATCAAGGTGCAAAGATAATGCCTCGGTGCCAAGATGTCACACGGAAAGACATTGTATTTTGAGGAATGAGATAAGAATCTTAACAAATGCCACCACTAATGTAAAGTGGTTGCAATAGCCAAGTTTTGGGAATTGAAGAACGTACAGGATATTTGCGATTCTGCAGATCAGGATTTTTTGCTGTAACTTAGCAAATGTAGTCGTGCCACAAGCTCCAACTTGGGAGTATTTTGTAGAAACTCAAATTTTAGAATTTAGTTTCCATGTAAGCCAACTTTAAGAAACCGCTCGATGCTGTGATGGGAAGATGATTGGGTGAGTGGGTAATCTGTACCTCTCGTGAATTTGTCTTTCACCGTCCGTCTCATTTTCCTCTTTCCCTCCCCCAGCTCCAAAGTTCACATGTTTCACATTACTCACATGAGAACTTGCAGACAGCACAGTGACCACTCAGAAATAATAAATAATACGCCCAAGATCGAAACATTTATTTGATACCTTATCCCACCTTCTCAGCACATCTTAAAGCAAATTCCCTGTGTGCACAGCTGTAGGATTTTATTTTAATATCCCAACTTATCAATGATTATATGTAGTATTTATATACAGTTCATTCTTGACATTGAGAGAGAAATGATCCTGCTTTGTATATTATTGCAGCTATCATCAGAATCGTACTTCAATACGTAAAGGATATGTAATAAAGTAGCTATCTCATAACAGAATAATAGCTAGTTTTATGTGCTACTGATGCACGTTATACAATTTATATTATAGAAATGAATCTATTTGTAAAGATGATTTTTTTACTATAGACCAAATGCAACTTTAAAAAAACGGTTGTACAAATTCAGCAGGAAGCAAAATCATGTTGTATTTTGTTGCAGTTAAACTAACAGTGTCGATCGCTACTTCAGGCTATTACTTAATTTTGTAAGTTTTTTTCTAGTCTACCTTTTTGAATATAAAGGGCTTAGGACTTGCCATAGTTGTGTAGTCTCCATATTCAGGAGAGCAGGGCTGTGATCTCTTCTCACAAAGGTGGCTAAAACAGGGTAGTCGTAACAGTCATACCTTCTGTAACCTGATGGTTGTCAAACCGGGAACACTGTCGCCCATTGGAGCCAAGTTTCTGCCAGTTAATGTGACATTCACCTGCTTACTGGCTACAGTTGCTGTTTGCAATTTCCTGCTACATATGTTTTTTACCCCACCTCCCACTACTCTCTCGAATGGTGTGTTTATCAAAATGGTGAGCTCTGCTCCTCAGACGGATGCTTTTGCTGCTCTGCACTTTGTACTTGAAAACCATGTACTAAAGTCTCTGCAATGTTCAATTACACATAATAAAATATTTCTGCAATGATTCCAGACTCTGAGGTATTTGCTTTACTGCGACTTTGATCCGCTGGGTATAGATCAGAATTTATTAGATTAGGAACAAAGTGAAAATGGCGTATGTCCTGTCCTCACTGTAACGCTAGGCTGCCATAAATTTGAGATGGTTGGATTCGGGCTCCCTCGACCAGTTTACAGTTCTCGTGCACAGGGTTTGTGGGCCCGCATCCTTGTGTTCAAATATGAGTGTGTATGAGTGAGTGTGTGTGAATAACGATGAGAGAGTGTAAGTGAGTTCTAATAATAATAATCTTTGCATTTGATATACTGCCTTGGCACGTCTTTGAGACGTCTCAAAGCGCTTCACAGAATACACTCTAAAGTGAATTGACGGCATATTTTGTGGGCGAAATGTGGCAGCCAATTGCACACAGCAGTGTCCCACAAACAGTCATGAATTTTTTTTAAGGAAAAAAGTCCGCCAATCAACTTAATAACGAGTTCCTACTGACTGCTAGGTAAACCAAGATGTGTTTAGTAAGGAAACTTGCCCAACATTTCGCTCTGTCAGGAATCAAACTCAGGTCTGTCGATTACGAGGTGAGTGCTCTAACCACTGAGCTACAGGACTTCACATTATGGTATGCACATAATGGCCTCCTGTGATGTATAATTGAATGATTCTATGATTAAGTCTGTGATTAAATCTGTAATAACAGTACTGGTGCTGTTTCAGCCTCATCTCTCAAACACCTCCTCCACACTGTTATTGAGAAAGCGGCTGCATTCTGAAACCATGTTGTGGCCTCAGAAATCTGCCTTGTGCACAGTACAAATGGGTCTGCGGCTTAAATCCTGAACCTTAAATCCTGAATGTGTTCACTCACTCTGAGATGCATGATTTGGTCAGTGTGTGAAGCTTTCCTCATATTTTTCCCTCTATTGAAACTTTTTGTACCTTTTCACAATTGAGCCCTATATCTTGCTCACTCACTCATCACACGCACACTCACTTGTACACTCACACTCAATTGTATACTCTCATCCACATAGACTCACTCACTTACATACCCCTTTAAGAATCTTTGCATTTGATGGCATGCCTAAGGCCTGATTCTCTCAAACACTTCACAAATAATTACTGTATCTATAGTTACTGTGTATTTCTAAGCAAACCTGGCAGCCAAATTACACACAGCATTGTTCCACAAACAGTCCTGATATGAAGAATTGTTGGCGAGAACACTGGGGAGAAACTTCATTTTTCAAAACGTCATGGGATCTTTACAGACAATCTGAACAGGCAAGACCTTCATTTAATGTCTCATCCAAAAGGCAGCACCTCTAACAATGCAGATCTCTTCCAATACTGCAATGGAATGTCATAGGCTCTCTGAACTATGAGCTCAAACTCCCAATATGTGGCTGAAATCACAACCTTTAGACTCATAGAGGCAAAAGCGCAACTAACTGAGTACCACAGCCATACATGCCTCTGTATGTGTGCCCCTACTATACATCCCTATTAACACATAACATAAGAACATAAGAAATGCTAGACGATAAAAGACCAGGGGTTCCATCTAGTTCGCCTTCCACCTTCCTGGAGGTTGCCTGCACATATATCCCAAACTACCTATATACTATATCCCATACATTCAAACATAAATATATGTATATGCACATTCTTCATCCTAGCGTCCAGACGGGATCAGAAATGGGCACCTGATCTATGTTACTTACTCCCTTGGTAAACTCCCTGAGCCCCTGTGGGAGCAATGCGTATTTTGACCACATCATTATACACAATCAGTTCAACTATTTTACAACATTTGCATTTTAGCCAGGAATGAAAACTTGCTCATGGTCCTGAAGGAGTAAGACAGGAATCTGTGTTGCTTTTGTAACTTTTTTGTGCCTACTGCTCGACAGTTCTGAAACCACCTGTTTAAGCTCTGAAAGCCAGCAAACCAGGAAAATGTGCAATGTTTTGCCAAAATGCTAATAGGCCATTTTGTTTGTTGATTTTATGTTCTTGTTTTCAAAGCTAAGAGGTAACATTTACTATAGAGCACAATCTTAATTTCCATCTATTCTCCTTGGCGGAGAGCTGAACTTGTTTGCAGGTGACATGATTGCCAATGGAATGTCAAAATTGAGCCAGCCCGCTGGTGGTCTCTTCTTCCAGAGCCAGGTGGGTCTACAGTATTCCAGGGCATTGCAGATCACCGAGCAGCTAGCAACGAGATCCTGCATTTATATAACTCCCTTCACACCCTTTCCCAGTATCTTAACCAGACTTTTAGCTATCCAGCAATCCTTTTTTCCACTGAATTGTTAATATCTTTTTTCTGTCAGAAATGGAAGTCACATAAATACTATTAAATGTAATTTTTTTTCTGGGTTTTTAGAGATGGTAAACTTCAAAGCAAGATACCATGGGCGAAATTGCTTTCTGTGCCATAAATTACTGTGTTCTATGATAGAGGAAACAATTCGTCCATTACGCAGATAAGGGCTGATGTTCTCAATACAAGCAAACACATGAATCTTTCTTTCCTTGTCCACATCCTTGTTATCTACATTTGCTCAGTCTTGCCAGTTAGTCGGAGTGGGACAATGCCTACAGTTCACAAAGTGCACACTGCATGGAGAACAGTGACTAATCTATTGTCGAACAGCAATCCACATGAAACAACACAAAGAACTTAACGTTTTATAGCACCTTGCTCGTTGAAATGTCACTTTACAGGAATTATTGTCAAATATAGTGTTTGAGGCAAACAAGGAAACTATTTTGTGCACAGCAAGTTCCCACAAAAGCAACAACAATTGGTTGTTGTGTTTGCTTACAAAATATATAGTCACTACACTTTACACTGTGAAGCACTTTGAGATGTCTTGCCGATGTGGTAATACGCTACATCAAATACAAAGATTATTATTTAATTGGATAAAAACATACGGATAATCGAAAGCCATTTGGAATCTGCTCTACCACATGTTTTGGCTTCCCTCAATATCCATTTTGCCTCAGTTTAATATGATCTGCAAACTGGGATACACTGTACAGCCCTCTATTCATTCATGCAAGTCATTTATATATATTGTGAAGAACTGTGGCCCAGCACTGATCCCTGGGGAACCTCACTCACTTCTCACTAGTTAGAGAATTACTTCTCTGCCTTCTGTTTCCCACCACCCCCACAAACCAATTTCCTATCCAAGGTGAAAGACCAATTTATTGAACTATTGGCCAAGACATCAGGAAAAAATAACTTATATAGAGATCTTTATTCTCCACCTGAACAGGCAGGCAGGAACGCAGGTTGACAGGACCTTCAATAATGTGGGCTCCCTCAGCGTTGCATTGAAGTGTCGACCTGGACAATGAGCTTAAGCGTCAATGCGGGATATGAATCTACATTGTTCAACCCCAGAGGAAAGAATACTACCAACTGCTTCAGACAGTGAGTATTAATAGGCTACTGAACAGTGCTCGATTCTGTTCACATAGTTTTCAACAAGGTTGAATGGAGAGCAAGTGGGAGAGAGGTCTTTCCCCTTCCTGGCTGAAGGGCATGAAGTATTAATTATTCAGGCTTTTGAGGAGAACCTATCAAGGAGTCTATTGAATACAGGAAATGTCATGGTGGAACAAGATCCCCATAGGCAGGTTTTGTAGTTTCAATTCGCTCATACAATATTTCCTGTAGTCAATGAAATTCAGAAACTGCTACATGCGTGAAATGTGAACTGTATAACATTATAAAGGGCATTGAAAAAGTAAACCCTGAACAATTCTTCAGGATGTACCAAGACAGTAGAACAGATGACATGGGTTTATGATACCAGGAAGTATTCCTTTAACCAGAGGGTAATCAATGACTGGAGCAGTTTGCCAGGAAAGGTGATTGAGGCCAGTTCACAGGACTGATTTAAAAGGCAGCTGGAAACTGTGCTGGGAGGTCAGGGTGGTGTTCCGGAAGGAATAAGATCAGATGGACTGAACCAACCTTCATCCAAACCAATGGATGTATATTTTACATCGACAACTTGATCTCTGCTGTGATTCCTCTTGTTTCACTGTGTTTGAGGAGCTTATAACTTGTAGGTGTCAAGAATAACTGACCTGTCCATGACGTAAAATGTGACAGTCACTAGTGTAGTCTGCCCAAAACAGTACTTTAAGATGCAGCGAGACGTTAGAACAAAAGGACATAGGTTTATATGATAGGGAGTTTTTCTTTACTCAAGAGGGTAATTAATGACGTTTACTCAGAGGGTAATTAATGATTTTTAACAACTTTACAGTTCTTAAAAGAAATATAGAAAAACGCTGTCCCAACATGAAATAAAAGTACTTGCACTTTGTTACAATCTGCCTTTGGTCTATTTATCTTACTGAATAGCTGCTCATGTTACTGGGTAGAATGCAGCAGCAGAGACACAGTTTTGATTAATGGTGGGAAACGTTCTCGTGGTGTGTCAACTTTTCACTGTGTGAAATTTAATGATTCTACAACCAACAGTCACTTTTTTGTCTTTACATGTGTTTCAGCCTGTCATTCAAATGTGGCACAGTCATGCCCCTCGCTGTCCCTTCCAATAGGTGGACCTTTTTTTGGAATACAGAAGCAGTAATCTCACCTGCCTCTTTAAAGAGTAAAACCCAGTGAACTCTTACAGTTGATTGTTGATTGCCTCCATTTCCTGGTCCTGGACACAGAAGTTCAGTTGCTCCAATAATAGGAAACGGGTAAAGTCAAATACACAGTCAATCCATTTTACAATATACTCTGTGAAGCACTATAAGGATTATTATTATTATTATTAAAGTCAATGAAAGTAGATGTACTCCAATCTAGCGACACAAACGATATAAGTTTGGCTCCGATTGTATTTATTTTCTGATTCAGAAGTTCTGGGTCCAAGTTCCACATCAGGAAGTAAGCTCACAGTCTGGATTGACACTGGTGCAGTTTGGGGGGGAGGGAGGGTCCTGCATTATAATCGCATAAGAGGTGC